TTAGTTGTCTCTGTATATTCCGGACTGTCCAACCTCGCGCTCCTTCCACTTTTCATAAGTGCTTCTCCTTACCCGTATATATGGCCCATATATATGGCCCATATATATATGGCCCATATATATGGCCCATATATATATGGCCCATATATATGGGCCATATATATATGGGCCATATATATGGGCCATATATATATGGGCCATGACAGCTCTCCTTCCTAATGTGAACATATACTGTTTTGATGGGATGGGATGGTCGGTGCTAGCCGTTCTGGTGAATGCTGTGCTGAAGTAGCTCTCCTTGGGTATCCTTGTGAACATCCATGTCATCATCCTCAGCGTGCATGTCCTATCTGCCGCGGTGGGGTGGGGGCTCCTCTTCCTGATTGGTCAATAAAATGAAGCAGGTCAGGAGGAACACTAATTGTAGGACAGATAAAGCTTTCGATACTACCAACAGATGTGGAGTCGAAGAAAGAAGAAAGAGAAAATGAAACAAAAAGAAAGAAAGAAAGAAAAGAAGAAAAAAAGTACAAATTTCTGAAGAAAAGAAAAAGGAAAACAAGAAAAAAAAAAATAAAAAAATGTTGAACTTTGTAGTGACAGTGGCAATTGGTTTATCTGTGGGATGTGTTATTTGCTTTCTTCCTTTGTCTTTTCTTTGACCGGATCCCTTTCTCTTTCTCTTGCCTCTGTGAGGTTTGGTTTCCTCCTTTTCTTTACCTCTTTTTTGCCTTTTGGCTGCATGCAAGTGGGTCCTTGTGACACACGGGGATGGGGGCAGCCAGCACTCAACCTGTCATCCACGTGGCTGGCCTTGTACGTAAGAGGTGATGAACAGGTGGGGCTTTCCTTCCTTCTTTTTCTTTCCTTGTTTTGCTTTTTTTCGCCTTCGCGCCCTGATGCACAGTGTGACAATATATTATGTGGGACCAGTCATCCGGTCTTTTTTATTGTCTTGGCATCCTGGTTGGTTGTTTCCCGTTGTTCAAGCGCGGGGCGGTGCTTGCATGTGGGAATCGTCATCCGGGATTGTTTTTTATACCGGTCCTCCGGGTTCTTTTTGATTTCTTTGCAGACAAGATTGTTTGACATCCTGGTTGGTCTTGTCCCGTCGTTTGGCCTGTGGGCAGGGGCGGTGCTTGCATGTGGGACTTGTCATCTGGGATCTGTTTTGTTGCCCCCTGTTCTGCATTATTTGGCTGTTCCCTTCCTCTTTTCTTTGCCTCTTTGCCTTTCGGCTGTGTGCAAGTGGGTCGATATGACACACGGGGGTGGGGGCAGCCGCCGCTCAACCTACATCCATGTGGGCGGCCTTGTACGCAAGAGGTTGTGAACAGGGGGAGTTATAAGGAAGAAGATAAAAAACTGAATTCATTTTTTCTTGTTTTTCTTTCTTTTTTTCTTTTTTTTGCATTTGCGCTCTCATATTCTTGTGACAATATATATTAATTTTGTTTTTTTTGCTTTTGCGCTCTGATATCTTTGTGATGATATATATTTTATAAAGTCGTCGAACGCGTCTGGAGGCCATGTCTCCAAGAGGAGAGTGCCCTCCTGTCCTGCGGCCAAGAGGATTGTGGACGAAGCTGAGAGACCATATACGATGATCCCACCATCTCCATAACCACGTGGCAGCACGGCACTGAAGAAAGATGTGTGCTCTATGGTCTCCGGTATCAGCTCGGAAGCTAGGCTACCAGAGTGGCCCGGGGTCACTTGCCCGGCCGGGCCAAAAAAAATAAAAATAATAAAAATAAAGAAATTATTTTTAAATTTTAAATTTTTGTTTTAAACCACCAGTACCTCCGAGCCTGTTTTTGCCGACCCTGATTTATAGTGCGCGCCGACTTTTGGCGAGCCACCGTCGCGTGGAACCTCGTAGGCCGTGTTTTTTTTTTTTTTGTTTTCGGAAACGGTAACGTTTCCACATGTGGCCTGGAGTGGACCGGTACGGTCCACCCGACGGACACAAGTTTGGGCGGGGTCCCTGTGGGTGGTGGTATGTTTCGTGGCCTGAATTT